TTATGCACATGCTGGTGGTTGCAAATTCTGGGTCAGTTCTACCTCTAGCCCTGTCTTCTACACAAACCAATGGGTGTTGCAGCCCAGCTCAATCCTGCCCACCACACACTGGGCTTCATGCAAACCAGTGAGAGTTGTAGCCTAGTTGGAACGACCCACAATAACCTCCACCAGGCCCGCCCACCTGCCCTGGTTCCTGTACGTGCCAGTATGTACAGCAGACTGGTCCAGTCTGTCCACATCCCATTCAGCTCACATACATGTCAGTGGGCCTTGAAGCCTAGTGCAACCCAACCAGACCCACTCTCTAGCTCACGAGTGAGCAGGCAAGTGCTACTGTCATTTAGTCATGCCTTCCCCGGCCCTGGTTCTCATGCTCACCAGTCGGAGTGGCAACCTGAGAGAGGGGCCTATTCCCACTCTAGGATCTTGCACTCTCCAGGTGGCTCTGCAGTTTGGCTTGACAGAATTAACCCCAGTGTCAGCATCTGCCAGCTGATGCTGTGGCAAAGCCCAACCAACCCACACCCACTCTGACTTATACTTGCACCAGTAGGAACAGTCAACCCAGCCTGGCTTTTCCCTGATCCAGCTCACATGAGACCAATAGGTGTTGTAGCTCTGCCAGGTCTGTGCCCACCCAAACTCTCACATTCACCAGTGGGAGTCATGGTGGTGCAGCAGGCGAGTCCCATGTACCCTCCCTACCAAGTTTGCTCCCTCTCCCGTTGGTCTCGTGTGCTTGTGGGGGCTGTCACAGTCTGTTATGGCCCACCTCACCTCGACATTTACCAGTGAGTACTTTACCCTGGCCAGGCCCAGCCAACCTGCAGTTTCAACTGATGCTCATGGGTGCTGTGAGTTAGCCCCGCCCAGCTGGCACCCAGTCCTCATGTGAAATGGCTTGTGCTTGGATTCACCATTGGGTGATATGAACTGGCCCAGCCTAGTTCACCCGACTTGGGAATATGCTTTTTACTGAGCCTTATGTTTTTAGAATTTCTGAGTGTAATTATTTTTCTCCAAAATACTACATATTTTAATTGAAAGGCAGAGTTACACAGAGGAGGGAGAAAGAGAATCTTTCCTCTGCTGTCTCATTATCAAATGGCCACAAGGGTTAAAGTGGGACTGACCAAAAGTCAGAGCCAGGAGCCTCTTCAGGGTCTTCCACGTGTGTAAATGTCCAAGGACTTGTGCCACTCTTCGCTGATATTGCAAAGAGAATGGCAAGGAAGGAAAACCGGAACCTCGATTCTTGATGATGCATATTGAGGAATGAACTAGTGGATGGAAGATGTCTTGCTCTCTCTGCAACCTCTTTTCAAATATAAATAGAAAATAAATGAGTGTGTGTATATATATTTATTTGTAATTTCTTTTTATTGGAAAGTCAGATTTACAGAGAGGGGAAAGATCATTTGCTGGTTCACTCCTCAAGTGGTTTTAAGAGCCAGAGTTGATCTGAAGCACGAACCAGGAACTTCTTCCAGGCTTCCACACAGGTGCAGGTTCCTAAAGCTTTGGGTCATCCTTTACTGCTTTCCCAGGCCACAAACAGGAAGCTGGATGGGAAGTGGAGTAGCCCATATTGGATCCTGGCACATGTAAGGTGAGGATTTAGCCCCTAGGCTACTATGTTGGGCCCACAAATAAGCATATCTTTAAAAAGCATATATGCATTGTTTTCCTCTTTTCATAAAGTTTCTGTAATTATTCTGTTACCCATTACACATGCTGTGATGCTGAAAACATAATCTTTTAGATTTAACTAATTAGTTAATTATTAGAAAGGCAGACATACAGAGAAAAGGTGACAGAGAAAGATCTTCCACCTACTGGTTCACTCTCCAAGTGGCCGCAATGGCTGGGGCTGAGTGGGTCTAAAGCCAGGACCCAGGAGCTTTTTCTGGGTCTCCCACATGGACGCAGGATCCCAAGGATTTGGGCTGTCCTCAACTGCTTTCCCAGGCAACAAGCAGGGAGCTGGATGGGAAGTGGAACAGCTGTGATAAAACCTGCACCCATGAGAGACCTTGACAGATGCAAGGAGAGGATTTAGCCACTAGACTATTGCACCTGACCGTTCGGTAATCCTTTAACATAAATAAAACTTTGATACATATAACCACTTTGTAATTTTTCCTTAATTAAAAGGAAAAATCTAAGGGAGAGTAAGGGAGGGATGGACAGATCTTTCATCCATCGACCCACTCCCCGAATGGTGGCCGTGGTTGGGACTGGGTCAGGATGATCCCTGGACTCTGTCTAGTTATTCCACATTGGTGGTAATGGGCCAATACTTGGGCCATTTTCCACTGAGGGACCTGGCAATGCAGTAGTTGAACTCAAGCTGGCTCTCATATTGTCTGTCAGCACTGCAGCGAATGGCTTAATATTCCGTATCTTAAAGATGGATCCTTCATTTTTTCTATAAATATTTTTGAAACTCTACATTGCTAAAGCATTTTCTGGAAATGTTTTTTTTTAAAATTCATTTATTTTTTATTGGAAAGTGATATACAGAGAGGAGAGATCCTCCACTCGCTGATTTACTCCCCAGGTGGCCGCCATGGCTGGTGCTCAGCTAATCTGAAGTCAGGAGCCAGGATCCTTTTCCAGGTCTCCCACATGGGTGCAGGATCCCAAGGCTTTGGGTTGTCCTTGACTGCTTTCCCAGGCCACAGGCAGGCAGCTGGAAGGGAAACGAGGCTGTCGGGACATGAACTGGTGCCCATATGGGATCCTGGTGTATGCAAATGAGGACTTTAGCCACTAGCCTATTGTGCCAGATCCTGGAAATAGAAATTTAGCTTTACTATGTGTGAATGGGATGTCTAAATTTTCACTGTCATTAAACTTTTTAAAAAAATTATCTTGGGCTGAACATAGTGGCTCAATAGGCTAATCCTCCACCTGCAAATGCTGTGTTTCATAACCTGGCCATTTCACTTCTGATCCAGTTCCCTGCTTATGGTGTAGAAAAGCAGCACAAGATGGCCCATGTCCTTGGATTCCTGTACTTTTTTTTTTTAAAAAGATTTTATTTATTGGAAAGTCAGATATACAGAGAGGAGGAGAGAGAGAGGAAGATCGTCCATCTGATGATTCACTCCCCAAGTAAGCATAATGGCCGATGCTATGCCGATCCAAAGCCAGGAGCCAGGAACTTCTTCCGGGTATCCCACATGGGTGCAGGGTCCCAAAGCCTTGGGCCGTGCTTGACTGCCTTCCCAAGCCAGAAGCAGGGAGCTGGATGGTAAGTGGAGCTGCTGGGATTAGAACCGGCTCCCATATGGGATCCCGGGGTGTTCAAGCCGAGAACTTTAGCTGCTAGGCCATGCTGCTGAGCCCGGGGAACCTGTACTCTTGTGGGAAACCCAGAATACCTCTTGGCTTCAGATTGGCTCAGTTCGTCTTTGTGCCATCTGGGGAGTGAACCAGTGGATGGAAGAACTCTCTCCTCTCTGTAAATCTGTCTTTAAAATAAATAAATCTTCAAAAATTTTTAAAATACCTTTTCTGATATGGCTTTAAGTCTCTGGGCCCCTAAACTCAAGTGGGAAACTGGAAGAAGTTCCTGCCTTCTGGCTCCAGATGGCTCAGCTCCAGCTGTTGCAGCCAGTAGACAGAAAAATTTTCTCCCCTTCTGTGTAACTCTGCTTTTCAAACAAAAATTAATAAATATATATATATCTTAAGATTTATTTATCTTTATTTCAAAGTCAGATATACAGAGGGAGAAGAGAAAGAGAGGAAGATCTTCCATCTGATTTACTCCCCAGGTGGCTGCAATGGCTGGAGCTCAGCCAATCCGAAGCCAGGAGCTTCTTTTGGGTCTCCCACACTGCTGCAGGGTCCCAAGGCTTTGACCTGTCCTAGACTGCTTTCCCAGGCCACAAGCAGGGAGCTGGATTGGAACCAGGGCTGCCGGGATTAGAACCGGCACCCGTATGGGATCCTGGGGTGTCCAAGGCAATGACTTTAGCCAATAGGCCACAGCGCCGGACCCCAAAATTAATAAATCTTAAAGTTTATTTTCCTGTTAACTTGCTAGTATTCATCTTCATTACCCTGTGAACTCTTTCTTCTTATTTATTTATTTTTTTACTTCTCCACTCCTATTTCTAGCTTCGTGATAATGTGGACTCTGGGAGGTTGTAAGTAATGTTTGACATACTTTGGTCTTCCGTGCAACCTGTGTGTGAGACAATGATTAAGTTCTAAATTCCTGGCTTTGGCCTGGCCCAGATCTGGCTAGTATGGCCACCTGGGCAGTGAAACAGTGGATGGAACATTTCTGGCTTTCAAATAAAATGAAAATAAACCATTAAAAAAAAACCCTTCAAAAACCAAACCAAACCAAAAAACCCAACCTCAAGGAAGCTTTATTTATGTCTAAAGATATATTGCATAGAGAAAATGAAAGATAGTGTACCTAGTAAAATTCAGCGTTTTGTTGTTGTTGTTGTAGAGTGTAGGGTGGGGAGGGAGGAGTGTTGCTGCAGCAGTTAAGGCCCTACTGTGCGATGCCTGCACCCTGTATTGAATTGGAGTGCTACTCCAGCTCTCCTTGGGATTCCAGCTTCCTGCTGATGCACATCCTGGAAAGCAGCAGGTGCCGGCTCACGTAGTGGGGAATTTGTCACCCACGTGACAGGCTCAGACCGAGCGACTGAGCTCCCGACCTCCCAGTTGGCCTGTTTCGGCCATGGCTGTTGCGGACATTTGGGGAGTGATCAGTGGATAGATTTCTCTCTCTTAAAATGGAAAAAAAAAGGGGGGTAGGGGGAGGAGAGGGGAAAGCATCACAAGTTTTAGTTGTCAAGTAAAAAATATTTATGTCTCCCTTACAACAAAAATAAAACATTAATAACATCTTTACCAATCTTCAACATCCAGAAGCTTTTAAGCCTCTATTCAAGTAGGCTAAAAACACATTAAAAATCATGCTAAGAAATTACAAAGAAAAAGACTAGAAAAGCAGGCACGTTTGCTTCAAGTATACAATTTGTTTTTATTTACAATATCCTATAAAAATGTAAATTTAGAAACTTTAATTTTCATTAATTAGAACCAACCAAACAAAAAAAAGATAAAGCACAGTAAAGAAGAAATAATAATCAAGTATTCACTTGATCAGTGTGAAGGGAAGGTAGGAAAGGTGCCTAACAGCAAAATTCAGACAATGGTTGGAGGGAAGCTAGGAAACGTTACTGAGGAACAGCTGGCGGAGCCTGGAGCTTCAGAACAGGAAGAAATGGAGATGCAGAACAAAGGCAGTTGGTCATAGTGGAGGATTTTACTGTTGTACAATATGTGTATGTGCAAAATACTTATTCTCTTTAAACGTCATAGTCTGTCCCTTCTACTACATTCAAAAAAGTAAGAACAGCAGAAAGCAGATAAGGACAGTCATGTAAAATTAATTTGGTATTAGTTAATTCAGGGTTGTAATCACAGGGACCAAAATTCCTTATCCTGGCTGACTGCTGAATGGGAGAGGGGTAAGTGAGAAAGATCATGGAAGGCCCTCCCTGCTCGGACTCAGATCCAGGTCCCTGGCTGCCCGGGAACGGGACTTGGGCGAGATGGAGGAGCGAGGACAGCAGGTCTGTCTGTAGTGTGCAGGCAACTGCAGAGCTAACCGGTCAAACTTAGTTTCCATGGTTACACTAAAAGATTTTTCTCCCACAGCATCAAATAATTGGGGAAGAGAGGTAAAAGCATGGCTTACATAAGTAGTCTCAGGAAGACAGGGTGAGTGTGCAAAAAGCTGCACTGCAGAAGCAGACTCTAAGTCAGGAGCATTCCGTGCATCTTGAATGCACTTGAAGGGACAGGCTCAAGTACGCTGAAGTTGTAGCATGAAAAAGGCTTAACCCTGTGCTGTCTCCATTACAGTAGGCAGAACCAAGGAAATAAAGGTGCAAGGAGACAAAGGACTTCTCAACCTAGAGATGGGTATTAGCCAATCAAGAACTTCTGATTTTATTAAATATGAGGCATACCCTGTTTTTATGGAAACCAGTAGAAACCATCAAATTAATTAAAAGAGGAAATAGAAATAGATTAAAAATACATCAGCTGGTTTTGTGTTTCAAAGAGGTATGTTTCAACTAAGTATTTTTCAATCTAAAATTGATTTAAGGGCCCTTTGGAAAATGTATAAACACATGTTTAGGGGTAAGTGTAGTATTTATCTATATTTTGATTTCTACTTGGTTTTCCTATAATCGTATTAATATGAGACAGTGAAAAAAGACTTAAACAGGATAAGTGGAGGAATCCTTTTGTAGGCTACAATCTACTTTGAACAGGACTGTTGGTGGGATACGAGAAGTATTATATTTGTGTCTCTAGGGTAAAGACAATGCAAAATTCAGAACTGAGTAAAAGGAGGACATGCAGAATCGTAACCGAGAAGATAAAGGAAAAACCAGCAGAAGGATCACCCAGCCGAATTTCACAGAGCAGTGGCCAAACTACCTGGCATGTTGGACACAACCCCTGCAACCAGGAATTGATCCCACAAGACTTTGCTTTGGGGAATAAGCTACCTTCCCTCCCTCATTAAAAACACTCCATTGGTGATGGCAGCAGTGCAGGTGGCAGCCGCAAGGAGGCTCAGGACACACTTGGAGATCTTTTATCGTATCCCCTGAACTAGCCTAAGGGTATAAAGAAAGAGAGAAAGTAAACTTGTCTGTATGAATAAGTTAGATAAGGCAATCTTTTGCAATAAAATCATATTCTTGAATTCTCAGAACACCCACTGTAGTCAGTGTCTAGGGGGCACGGCAGTACCCAATATAGTGCTCTACACTTAGCAGATACATAAACACTTAGTAAAGCTTTTTACCCTCTTCCACCAGATTCATTTTTGACCCCTTACCCCCACTCATAACTTCCAACGAGTCAACTGTAATGAGATACTGAAGTTTCCTGTTTCAAACTTACTGCAGTTTTGTCTCCAGCAAGTTCAGTTTCTGCCGGTCAACATAGCGAGAAAAGAGGGACACTAGGTTTGTGGGCATGGAGATCGGCTTGGCCAGAGCTGCTTGAGGAATCCGGAGAAGTTCTCGTGTTGCCATGAACATCACCTCAGTCCTGTTAGGGAAAACCCAGAACAATGAGAAAAACAGATTACCTGACAGAACCTGAAGCATGAGAAGAAAGCACTTCATACTGACCACTGGGTATTTTGTGTAGATTCGACGGCAGGGTCTGAACTCTGCAGGTCTTCCCCACGGCTCAGGAGAATGAGGAGCAGTGACAGGCCAAACTAGAAGAAAAGATGGGATCAAACTCAATAGTGCATCTAATCTCCTCCAGCACTGTGGAGCGCCTGGCACCAGGTGGCAGCAGTATTGCAGCAAGTAGCCCTTGCTGTGGGCTTCTCTGTGAAACCAGGCAAAGAGCAGACTCCTCCAGTGGAGAGGCTGTCTCTCCAGGCTTCCCTCTTTGGCACAGCGCTGCCTAAGCACAGCCCTTAGCCATGGCAATGAATGTCACGATGTTCAGCAGTCCTCTCCACTGCCCACCCAGAGAGGAAAAGAAGGTTTTTCTTTGTCATGTAGAAAGTGAGACTTGGTTCCTTCTCACCCCCCCAACAAGCTCCTACGAAGGAACCAAAATGGATTAAACAGGAAAGTTAAACACAAACTTGGATATAGAATATTAAAGTTCAGGTAAACAAGAAAAAAAGCATTAAACAGAGTTAAGGTACTCTAAATGAATAAAAAGTTGTGAAGATCTTAGGAAACTCAGAGCTAAAATTACAAAAAGAATGGCAAGGAAGGAAAACCGGAACCTCAATTCTTGATGATGCATACTGAGCTGCTATACCAGATTTATTTCACGTGAGATACATAAAGCCACCATATGCTGAAACCATGACCATTTCTAGCCTGTTACTGGGATCTTAATATAACTTCTGAAAGAAGCCCTTGGTCCAATTTACCACAGCCATAGCAGGAGCAATTTTAACCTATAATTTCACTCATAGCTACCTTGTTCTGAAGCACAGCAGTGAGGTGAGGGTTGGAGGGTGCTGGTGCAGATGCGCTTTGAGGTAGGTTCATCAGCTGTTGCAGAAGGCTGGTGACAGTCACTGATGGAAGATGATAGAGGAGAAGAGAGAAGGGACTCAGTAAGCATGGCAGCACCTACAAAAGAAAAACAAGTATTACATCCCGGCAACTGAAAACAGCTAATGCCCCAAGCCACCGGGGGAACAGCTGTCACTCTGGACAAGGCAGAAGCTGAAAGCTTGAAGATCTCTAATTTGTAATGGAAATGCTAAGACATGTATGAGCCAAAGGCACAAATGAGTTTCCCAACGTGTCAAGTTTCCTGCTAGAGGAGAGCACCAGATTTAGTGACGAGCATTTTCAGATTTAATTAAACATTACCTTTATAAAAGCTCATTAAGAAAATGGAGAAATTATTAGCTAATTTTCACAGATAAGAGAAGCTAAGTGAGGGGAACTGCAATGTTCATTATTAAATACCAAGTAGCTAGAAACAAAACCCAAACTGTCAAAGTCTAACCTTCCAGTGATCTGTTACTTTTTACCAAGTGGCCCATGATGAAAAGCTGAAATACCGAAATAGTAATATAAAACATGAAGTTAAGAGTGCTGTCAAGCATTCAAAGCACACTATTTCTTTTTATGGTCTGTTACTCTAAATAAAGTTTACAATGATTTTACAACATACATAAAAGTAAAAAACAACAGTATAAAGAAATTCATGTACTTGCCTTCTAACTTCATACAATAAACATTCTGCCCAATTTGTTAATTTATTTAAAGATTTATTTTACTTTTACTGGGAAGGCAGATTTACAGAGAGAAAAACACACGGAGAAAAATCTTAATATCATCAAACACATATTCCAAATTCAGATTTTTCCAAATGTCCAAAGTACTTTAAGCAATCTGTTCTAATTATGATTAATCAAGATTTACACATTACATCTGGCTAATGAAGCTGTTACAATCTGTACCAAACATGTCCTCTGCTACTGCCAGCTCCATTTGCGATGCCATTTGTTTGTTGAGAAAATTTTTCCCGTTGTTTGGATGTGGCCAACTGCATCTCTATGATATCACTGACTGAGTTTTGCTACAGCTTTCCCCATAAACTGCCAGAATTATAGGTCTGGTTAGATTCAAGTTCAACTTGGAGGGATGCAGAGAATGGAGGAAGTGGCGACACAGGTGGTGGCAGGGGCATGCCAGAACATTTCCTGGGAAGAGCTCTGTTTCAGCTGCATCACATCAAGAAGCCACAGTGCTTGGTTGTGTCACTTGGTGGTGTTTGTGCATTCATGGGTTGGCAGCCTGTTTCAACCAAGGTACAGGCCCCAGCTGTTTTTGAATTTGAAGCGATCAGCATGAGAAATGACCACTACGCCTGACTGACTGTTCTTTATAACCGGCACAGGAATTAGTCACTTTGTACTTTAATCATTTATTTTGCATTTATTAGCCAAATCCTTTTGACAAGAACTCTGTATTATCAAATCTCTAATGAGCAGGCCATTTGATTGCACTAAAAAAAAGCAGGAAAATTATCTTATCTTTTCCTTTGTTTTTTAGCCTAATGAACTTACAGCTTAGCCATATCCAAAGGTGATCAACATATTTCTGGTATCATTATGAATTTAATAGGCATATTTGATGTATTTTTAAATCTGAGGCAAATCGTCCTACTGTTGGCCAAAAGGGGCCCCTTCATTTTCTTTTGTTTCCTTCGGAATGGACCTTAGTAATCCATTAGTGTCCTGGAGAGATATTCCAGGATTACCTTGTACAGTTATGCTTCAGAACTGGAAGCACCTTCCCATGTGTTTCTCACCAAGCATTTAGAATGAAGGGCAGTATTTGTAACAGAGAATGCCTAGTATATAGAAATATTCAACAAACACCTGCTAAATGAACAAGGCATGCTCAAGATAGTTGCACATTGATGAGTTCCTGTGAGATGAAGACGAGCAAGTACCTAACTCACTGCCTATAATTTGCATACTCTAAGGCAACTGCTAATTTTTCATTTGGTCTTCTAGTATCTAGGTTCTTAAGGCTTTCTGCAATCCATTTTTCATTCTTGTACCCATTTAAAAATGTGCCTGTCTCATCCTGCTTTACTTTTTCCAATGACGGGACCAAATCTTCCCATACATTTCTGCATATGTTGAAACACTTCAACTCTTCTATGGCATATCACTTATAAAGCATCCTGGCAATGCTTGCTTTCTGAAGATGAACTACGCAGGTAGTTATCATTTAAGCTGCTCTTTACACTAACAGGCTTACATTCATACATTTTATTTCTCTGAGTCTCAAATTATGAATATCAGCCCTCCACTCTTTAGTGTCTTTAGACTATTGTAAATTTGCAAATCTTTCAAGTACTTTGTCAGGGATAAACACAGAAAGTGTAACCAAGAACTAACTTGTAAATCTGATGACAGTGTTTCAAATTTAGATAATAAAAATTATTCAAAAGCACTGGCCCTGTTTCTGTGGGACACTACTCAATGAAGTCCACAGGTTAATGTTAAGCTATAAAGTGTCAATGAGCGACACTTTATAGGACAGCTAGCAAAGTAACCAAGACTAGAAGTTTTCAGCTTTATTAAGTATCAGATTTTGCTGCAATCCTGTTAAACATACAGAAGCCCTGATTCTCATCCCAACAAATTCTAAGTCAATAGTTGGGGGATACAGATAATTGATTTCCAAGTAATTCAGGTACAGACCATATTATCAGTTACATCAAGTAAGATGAAACTGCTCTTTTTCTTACATTTAGAAGCATCATCCATTTTATCAAATATGTGATTAGAAATATAGGTCTGGAGGGCCCGGTGGCATGGCCTAGTGGCTAAAGTCCTCGCCTGGAATGCACTGGGATCTCATGTAGGCGTCAGGTTCTAATCCTGGCAGCTCCACTTCCCATCCAGCTCCCTACTTGTGGCCTGGGAAAGCAGTGGAGGATGGCCCAAAGCCTTGGGACCCTGCACCCATGTGGGAGACCTGGAGGAGGCCCTTGGCTCCTGGCATTGGATCGGCACAGCTCTGGCCATTGTTCTCTCTTGGGGAATCAATCACTGGATGGAAGATCTTTCTCTCTGTCTCTTCTCCTCTCTGTATATCTGACTTCGTAATAAAAATAAATAAATCTTGAAAAGAAAAAAAGGCCTGGAATACTTAGGGTTCTATTTTGAATAATTAAATTGTACTGTGAAAAGTTGGAGAAAACAGTACAAAGGGAGGGGAAGAAATTTGAACTATAAAGACCCCCCCCAAAACCCATCCTTCTTGGTGGATCACCTCGTCTTGTGCATCCTTCTTAATAAGGAAAGGGAGGTTCCTGGCTGTTGCCATGAGGACATCAGCTGCTTGCTCTGTGGAGAGGAAAGGGAGAATACGGGCCACCATTCTCTTCCCTTTCCGGATACACATAATCTGTACAAAGTGGTCATCACTTGGCCTGCAACAGAAGAAAAATATCCACCATGTCAGCAAGAACAGCCTAAGAAACCTTCGTTCTGTCCCACTTAGACATTACTGAACGAACATGCTGCATTAATTTTTTCAGTCATCTACAGGACTACATAATGAGAATTACTTCTTCAACTTGCAAGTTTTTCACAAATGCAGAAAATCATTATTTCAGAATTTAAACGTTAAAAAAGTTGGTCAAGGGCCTGGTGAAATGGCCTGGTGGCTAAATCCTTGCATGTTGGGATCCCATAGGGGCACCAGTTTGAGTCCAGGCTGCTTCACTTCCTATATAGCTCCCTGCTTGCTGCTTGTGGCCTGGGAGAGCATTTGAGGACGGCTCAAAGCCTTGGGACTATGTACCATGAGGGAGACTGGAACGACGCTCCTGACTCCTGGTTTTGGATCGGCTCAGCTCCAGCCACTGCAGCCACTTGGGGAGTGAACCAGCAAACAGAAGATCTGTCTCTGTGTATCTCCTGCTCTACAAAATTTGCCTTTCAATAATAATATATAAATCTTAAAAAAAAAAGTTGGTCAAAATACATGCATTAATTTCCTTTACAGTTTTAGGTAATCACAAAAATACCACATGGTTAACTTAACATCTGAAAATATTTATAAAAAGGAACATCACGTTAAAGTTAATTTTGCAAGTGTTACCATTTTAAAGAACCTTTTTCTAAGTATTACATATGCATATTTATTATTTCAAGAAAAAATGAACCCATGTAATATGACTTCATAACTTGTCCTTTCTCATTTCTTGTGAATACTTTTCATGCCAATAAATATACTCCTATATATCTTTTAAACTTGCTATTTTTTAAATGCATAGCATCCCAAATATAGAAAAATCACATTTAGTCACCTGTTCTTATCAGTCCAACTCCAATGTATGACAAAAATAAAGTATCTGTTTTTCTCTGCCCTAGATTATAAGCAGTTTTCCTGAAGCGGTAAAGGAAATGGAAGCCAATAGGACATGCAGTTCTCCTTAAAAACCTATTTGGAATTCACAGAGTATTTATTATTAACAAGACTTTTTTCCTGTAAATGGGAGACAAGAGACAAAGAAGAGCTCAGTCTCCGCTTTAAAACTTACTGATTTATGTAGCATATAAATGTTTTTAAAAAGATTTAATTATTTTTATTGGAAAGGCAGATTTACAGAGAGGAGGAGAGACAGAAAAGATCTTCTATCCACTGGTTCACTGCCCAGGTGGCCAGCACAGCTACAGCTGAGCTGAACGGAAGCCAGAAGCTCTCAGCTTCCTCCAGGTCTCCCTTGCGGTGCAGGGTCCCAAGGCTTTGGGCCGTCCTCCACTGCTCTCCCAGGCCACAAGCAGGAGCTGGACGGGAAGTAGAGCAATCAGGATAAGGACCCAGGCCCACATGGGTTCCTGATGCTCGGAGGTGGAGGATTTGCTATTTGAGCTCTTTTGCTGGGCCCAGGATATAAATATTCTGCATAGGAATCATAAAAAACTAGAGATGTTTATTTACAGTTTCTAGTTTGTAAGAAAGCAAATACAAGATTATAGGCTGCATATGCTAGTAATCATGAACTGGAATATAACTCAATTAAAAACTAAAAGTCAAATTCACATCCCTTACTGTACCTTTAGCACCTTTAGCATGATCCTAGGTAAACACTAAGCATGTATTTCTTAAGTTTAAAAAAAAAAAAAAACAGGATTAAATGGATTATTTTTCTGACTGGAAAGGTTTATAAAATATATCTGTATGAAGTGGAGTTTGAGTTAGAGCAAAAGGAAAGCTCCAGAACTTGAGCCTCCTGTTCTTCTCAAAGCGCACAGTGCTCACCTCTCTTGTCCGGGCAGTTTCCCCCTCAGGTTGTCATACATGCAACAAATTTTGTGCTTTCTTTCCTCCGTCAATGCAGGCCGCTCTTCTTCCAGACTTAAGAGATACCGCCTCTCATAGTCCTCCACATCGAGGAGTAAGCTGTAGGTCTAAGGAAGAGATACGGCCAGGTCAGGGTCACAGAGCACTAACAACTTCCCACTTCAGCAGCATCAGGTAAACACGACAAAGTGAAAAACAGATTTTAAAAAAGCCATTTTTTACTGTTACCCCAATCTCCAGTCTTAGCACATAAAACTAACAAAATAATTGAACTTAACACTACCCAATGAGGAAAATATTATCACTTTTTACAATGAAACTGAGGACTGCAAAGAAAGGTTAAACAATCTGACTGTCAGGAGTAGAGGCCTTACGCAGCAGCCTGCTTCGAGTCTGCGCTCTCCCCACTCAGTTCTGCGCCTCTGCCATTCTGCACTGACACTTCACAGCCCACGCTTTTGCGTCTATGTCATCATCCTGAGGACTCACAACTCCAGTGATTATCTGTGAACTCACCTGACTTATTTATTCCATACATCAATAACTTAATCTTTGCTTTCTTTAGTCAGGTTTAGAAAGTAACCTGGGCCAAAGCTACGAGCTGTAACTGAACCAGCCTGGACAAGAGCGCAGTCATGAAGCAGTGCCAAAGGTGAGCTATCTCACCATCCTTTCTCGACCGCTATGGTACACAACAGGCACGTGCTACATTCACTAATGAAAATCAAACACTCACTTATCTGAATCTAATGACCGAAAGAAATTCCAAAACTTACTTTTTCAATTATAACAAGGGTTTTTCTTCTCTTGTCCCGGACTTGTTTTTCTTTTGTCTCCTAAAAAAAGATTAAGACTATTCAATGAGAACTCTATACCTCTGTGTAAAAAAATGACCATCTCTAGGTTTGTTTGTAAAAATAACTTTAAGAGAATCCTCTCAGTTTACAATCTAAAAAAAATTACTGTGGACAAAGGACAGTTTACTAACTCAAATCACATAAACTATTAAACTGAATTCATGGAGAGGTAAACGCTAATTTACAGGGTAGCAGCATATAAAGATAGAGGGAAATCAAACACAGAGAAAACAGTAATTTTAAAAAAATAAGCTGTAGTAAATGAGTATGTGTGACTTTTATAAAGATTTTTGCACTCATCTTTAAACATGTTTAATTCTGTTCCAAACGTTTAAAAATTTACATTTTTATTTTTAAAATTTTACTGGAAAGTAAGATATACAGAGAGAGCAGAGAGACAAAGAGGAAGACCTGTCCGGTGATTCACTTCCCGAGTGGCTGTAATGGCCAGAGGTGAGCAGATTCCAAAGCCAGGGTCCGGGAGCTTCTGGGTCTCCTATGTGGGTGCAGGGTCCCAAGGCTTTGAGCCGTCCTTGATTGCTTTCCCAGGCCACAAAAGCTGGGAGCCGGGCGGGAAGTGGGGTTGCCAGGACACAAACCTGCACCCATATGGGATCCCAGTATGTGCAAAGTAGGACTTTAGCTGCTAGGCTACTGTGCCAGGCCCAAAATTTATATTTTTAATGATTATTTATTTGAAAGGTAGACAAACACACCAAGTGCCTGCCAACAGTGGTGCTGGACCAAGGCCAAGGCCGGGTACAAATCCAGAGCTACTATTTCAATGGCAGACACTCAACTGTTTTTTCATCATCTGATACCTCCTAGGTACTCAGCAGGAGGAATCTGGAACCAGAAATGGAGCTTGATCCTGAAATCAGGAATTTCAATAAGATGCTGGCATTCCAAGTGGCATTTTAACTGCTGTAGCTATAATCCCACACAAACCTTTTAAAGAATTTTCACCTATTGGGAAGGCAGTGATGGGGGAAAGAGAGGCAGAGAGAGAGAGAGGGGAAGAAAGACAGTAAAGGAGAAGAGAGAAAGAAAGAAAGCAGGAAAGATATTTTAGGCCAAAGCCAGCATCTGGGTCTCCCATATGGGTGGTAAGAGCCTAACACGTGGGCCATCTTCTTCCACTTTCCCAAGTGCATTAGCAAGAAGCCACATCAGAAGTGGAGCAATCATGAATTGAACCAGGTACTCCCAACACATAAGTCACAGTGCAATCCACCATGCCACAATACCAGCCCCCATTTTCATGAACTTCTGAAGTACACTGATAGATACTGTGTGTACTCAAGTTACGTAGTCTGAAGATTCCTGCCACTCTAGGCCTATGCCGTATGCCACAGAAGTAAGGTATTAATTCTAGCATAGCTGTGAAAACCAGAATGCCATGACATTCAGGTGGGAAGTTTTGGTTTACTATAAACAACTGTACCATGTCTGATCTCATTCCACAGTGAGCTCAAAAGAAGTGGTGATGGCATCCATGTCCTTAAAAATACAATTTTGCTTAAACTTACATCATCCTCACTCCGAGACGTCACAACAGCATCAATCATTTTTCGAGGATTATTCACACTAGAGACAGTAAGTTTTCCCAAGGAGCCCTCAAACTGCACTGCAAGGATAAAAAACAAAAACAATAAATTAAAAGAAACTAAATTTGCTCTGTTCTTTACTCATGGTCTAGGAGTCTACTACAAAAATAGACATATCAATAATTTCTTTTTTTTGTGACAATCATTATTGAAACAAAAATCTACAGTACTTTCTGTTTTTAGCTATTTCAGTAATACTAAAATTTTTTTCTAAAGACTTAATTTTTAATGGAAAGTCAGATATACAGAGAGAAGGAGAGACAGATCTAAAGATCTATCAGCTGATTCACTCCCCAAGTGACTGCAACAACAGCAGGAATTGAGCCAATCTGAAGTCAGGAGCCAGGAACTTCCTTGGGTCTCCCTTGGTGCAGGGTTCCAAGGTTCTGGGCTATCCTCAACTGCTTTCCCAGGCCAGAAGCAGGGAGCTGGATGGGAAGTGGAGTAGCCACCGAGATTAGAACTGGCGCCTATATGGGATCCTGGTGCGTGCAAGGCGAGGACTTAAACCACTATGCTACCATGCCAGGCTCTGATACTAAAAATTTTAATAGGGTTTAAAAAATGGAATTTCAAGTAGAAAACGATGTAAAAGGTTTTCTGTCCAACCATTCTTCCTATACTTCAACAAAGGTAGACCCTTGCATTTACTAAGTCAGGGATTCTGCAAATAATCTGACTTCTTTTTTTTTTTTTAAGCACCTTAGCCTCTCCAATTTCTCCTCTGGGCTTTAGGATCCAGACCTCACCTGGCTTGTACGCATGCTCCAGTTTGGCCACCTGAGGGGTGATGAGCTTGGTGCGTTCCTTCTTTGGGGCATCACCTTGGATTTCTTCAGCAGCTGAGAGCTTCTCCAGTTTTTCAAAGTAATTCTGTCACATGACAAGATAATTGTAGTAGCAACACAAGCACAAACATGGCTATTTGTTAAATAATTAATTTGCACATGGCAATACACAAATGTGAACTGTACAAATGTATTATTGTCTTTTATCCTTATTTTTGTTAGATTTACAGAAATTTATTTTATTATAATATCATACCCTCAAAACAGTTAATCAATGCAAATAAGTCCAAGTTAGTCTGTCACTGTTCTTTTTCATCATCACCCCCCACCCCCGCCATCACCAAGGCTTATTTATTTATTTGAAAGGCCAAGATAGAGACAAGGAGAATTTCTTCCAACTGATGGTTCACTTTCTAAATGGCTGCAACAGCCACACTTGGGCCAGTTTGGAGCCGGGAGCTTTTGTTTCTTCCAGGTAGGTACAGGGTATCAAGCACTTGGACCATTGTCTGCTGCATTCCCATCACCTTAGCAGGTACTTGGATCAAAAGTGGAGCATCTGGTATTTGAACCCATATCCACACAGGATGTTGGCACTAGAGATGATGGCTTTATGCATTATACCACAGAGCCCCAACATCCTTTTTCTTAATAAAAAAAAAAAACTTAAAAAAAATTTTATTTTATTTATTTGTATTGCAAACTCAGATATACAGAGAGGAGGAGAGATAGAGAAGATGATCTTCCGACTACTGATTCTCTCCCCAAGTGGCCGCAACAGCAGGCCAGAGTTGAGCCAATCTGAAGCCAGGAGCCAGGAGCTTCTTCTGGGTCTCCCACACAAGTGCAGGGACCCAAGGCTTTGGCCCATCCTCAACTGCTTTCCCAGGCCACAAGCAGGGAGCTGGATGGGAAGTGGAGTAGCCACGACACAAACTGGCACTCATATGGGATCCTGGCATGTGCATGGTGAGGACTTTAGCCACTAGGCTACTGCACTGGGCTGAAAAAAACTTTTTTTTTCCTTTTTAAAAGATTTGACAGAATTACACACACTGAGACAGACAGAAAGAGAGAGAAGAAAAACAGAAGGAAAGAGATCTTCCATCTGTTGATTCGCCCCTCACGTGACCATAATGGTGAGGTTTACTCTAGGTCAGCTATGATCCTAGAACTCCAACCTCTGCTGCAGTGCTGCTCATGTCCAACTGCTCAGAGTAAAGCGTACTGCCAGAGAACTGGATTGGAAGTTGTGCAGCAGTATTCAAACTTTCACTCTAATACGGGATGCTGGCAGTGCAGGTAGCTGCTTCACCCACTGCTATAACACTAGTTCTTTTTACATTTAAAAAACGAAATTACTTGAGAGACAAAGAGCAAGGGGGTGGGCAAGCTTTCATCCACCGGTTCACTTGCCAAATGCCTGCAACGGCCAAGGACTCACCTGGGCTGAAGTCTAAAGTTAGGAATGTAATTCAAATTTCTCACGTGGAAGGCAGAAACACAGTTACCTGAGGTATCATCACTACCTTGCAGGATCTGCACAATGAGCGCCTGAATTAGGAGCCAGAGCAAGATGCTGAACCAGGTGGTCCCAATGTGAAACATGCGTGCCTTGACCACAAGGCTTAACATCTATTGCACACTATCAATGTTTTTAACAGAAAGAATCACATTATTGATGTTAAAAATAATCAGAAAACTTGGTATAAGGGCCTAAAGAATCTAAAGCCTAGAGTACAATACGTCTCTAGTTTGACAAAAGGATGGAATTTGCTAAGTCGATTGTCATCCACTGGAATATTCTGTTAAAAGAATATTCTGTTAACATGCTGTTCATGTCCCAGCTGTTCCACTTTTCATCCAACTTCCGGCGTATGGCCTGGGAAAGCAGCAGGGGACGGCCCAAGTCCTTGGATTTGCACTGCATGGGAGACGCGGAAGGAGCTGCTAGCTCCTGGCTCTGAATTGGATCAAGCCCACACACAGTAGCCGTTTGGGGAGCAAACCAGCACATGGAAAATCTTTCTCTCTTACCAATTTTAAAACAAACAAAAAACAAAAATCAACGGAAACAGCAGGGTATTTACCTGATAATAAAAGTCATCCAGGTAGGGATCAGTGCTTTGCAGTTGCATCATCTGGATTTTGGAGACCCAATCCTTTTCCCGCTGCAACATGAGATTGGCATATGGGTCCTTTCGGAGATGATCCTGATGACTGCTCCGGTGATTGCCTCTATCTCCTGCACCATTAAGATTCCGATGCTGACTGAAGAATTAATGTGTCATATTCACTCCAAGTGGACATGTTAATTATGCCTTTTAACAGTACAGTCATAAGTCAGGCCAATTAAAGATAAGGTTCTCCTTAGCTTATGTTAAGAGGAGAGTGAAAAAGCTTTGAGTCAACAGAATTTAGAAGTTATGCAACACATAATGAAGGAAATAAAATTACCATTATCTTAATAACCTCACAGTAACAATATGAAGGTCATAAGCTTGTGCCTACTTTAAGAAAATGAACTGAGACCAAAGGAGATCAAATACCTTGTCCAAAGTTATACACCTGCTATAGCTTAGTCTATAAAAATTTTCTTCAACTTGCTAAAAAAAAATCATGGAATATTTCAAATCCACACAAAATTCCAGAATATACTATTTATTAAGCTATCTATTTATTTTTATTTGAAAGGAGAAATTAAAGAGAGAAGAAAGGGGAGATCTTCTCATTTGCTGACTCACTCCCCAAGTGGTCCCACAGCTGGAGATGAGCCCATCTGAAGTCTGGAGCCTCTCAGGTTATAAGCAGGAAGTTGGATTGGAAGTGGAAGAGCTGGGGCTGGAACTATTGCCTGTATGGGATGCTTGCACCACAAGTGCAAGCTTAACATGCTATGCCACATACCATTTGTCAAAATTTATTCATATTAATAACAGGTATTATCAAACATTAGAACTGTTAGGGTAGCTATATTCACGTTTTCAATCTTAACTGCCAAATTCTCTTTCTTAAAAATTTTTTTATTGGAAATTCAGATATACAGAGAGGAGAGATAGACAGGAAGATCTTTTGTCCACTGACTTCACTCCCCAAGCAGCGGCAATGGCCAGAGCTGAGCTGATCAAAAGCCAGGAGCCAGGAGCTTCACCCAGGTTTCCCACGTGAGTGCAAGTTCCCAAGGCCTTGGGCCGTCCTCTACTGCATTCCCAGGCCACAAGCAGGGAGCTGAATGGGAAGCGGGGCTGCTGAGATTAGAACTAGCACCCATATGGGATCCCGGCACATGCAAGGTGAGGACTTTAGCTATTAGGCTACCATGCTGGGACCCAAATCCTTTTTTCAATAGCTGTATACATCATCCTTGCCAATGCTGATGTTTTTGCCTGTCTGAAGAAGTTAAATTTGGCCCAGCGTGGTAGTCTAGAGGCTAAAATCCTTGTCTTGCATGCCTCAGGATCCCATATGGCCACCTGTTCTAATCCCAGTTGTTCCACTTCCCATCCAACTCTGCGCCTGTGGCCTGGGAGAGCAGTCAAGGATGGCCCAAGGACCTTGCACCTGCATGGGAGACCCAGAAGAAGTTCCTGGCTCCTGACTTTGGATCAGCTTAGCTCTGGCTTTTGTGGCCATTTAGGGAATGAACCAGCAGATGGAAGATTTTATTCTCTGTATCTCTTCTCTGTATATCTGCCTTTCAAATAAAAAAGTCAGATGGTTACTTTATTTTAATATGCATTTTTGTGATGATTACACTTGGATTTTCCCTTTTTATAAGCCACAGGGATTCTTTGTTTTAGGAATTGCATGACTGTCTACGGTATTTTTGCTATGCAGAAATTTAACATTTTAACACAAATACATTATCTTTCCCTTTATAGTCTGCATTTTTTGAGTCTCATTTAAGGGTTCATAGTAGTTCATTATCTCCTTGTAAAAAATATTCTGGGATGTCCTTGCAAGTGAGAAGGAATCAGAAGTGAGGCTGAAGAAATTTCAGCTCTGTTTGATGGTACAGTTGAACTCTCTTAAAAAAGCCCATGGTTTGGACACTTGGTCCCTGAAGTTAACCGTTAAAGGATTATTATGACTAATGACGTAAGAATGTAGATCTGATATGCCATTTGGGAGGGAGAGGTAGAGTTGAGGTCTTTTGGTCACTGAGGGCTGGTCCTCAAAGGGCACTTCCTGGGGAAGAGCTGGTTATGAAACTGAGCATGCTCCCTGACTCAATACACAATCCTCCCTTCCTCTAGCTCCAAGTTACTGGCTTGTGTGAAATAACGCTGCTGCTTCTCTTGGACTGTGAGCCTTTGGAAATATAAACTGAAAGAAACCTTTCCTAAGTAGTTCGCTGAAGCAATTTGACTCCAATAATGAAAAAGATAATATATTCAGTTTCTTAAATTAATATGGGTGACTACAGAATAAAAGTTCAACAAAAGTATGGATTTCATTTGTTTTGCTTTCCTTTTTTAAAAAATACTTATTTATTTTTATTGTTAAACGAGATATAGAGAGAGGAGGAGAGAGAGGAAGATCTTTTGTCTGATAATTTACTCTCCAAATGGCCACAATAGCTTGAGCTGAGCCAATCTGGAGCCAGGAACTTGTTCCAGGTCTTCCACTTGGGTTCAGGGTCCCAAGGCTTTGGGTCATCCTTAACTGCTTATTCAGGCCACAGGCAGGAAGCTGTATGTGAAGTGGGGCCACTGGGACATGAACTGGCAGCCCGTATGGGATCCTGGTGCATACAAGGCAAGGACTTTAGTTGCTAGGCTACTGTGCAGGGCCCTGTCTTGCTTTTAATTATTATTTTAGTTGCATACATTTATGAAGTACAGTGTGTTAATCCAATGTACACATTACGTATGTGAAGACTATATCAGCCTGGCTTTGACTTCCACCTCAATGAACATATAATTTTTTTTTTTAATTAAAAACAATTGTACATTATTTCCTGGGTACCTTATTTTACTTTTAATTCCCAAAACCTATCATATTTATACCTGTCAAATGATGACTAAATGATTACAGGCAAAAACAGGTAATGATCACTGAATCCACATGCAAGGCTAGCCATAGTATTTTAAGATTAACCTCTAAATTGAGAAGGTTAAATAAAAAAAGGGGGGAGGGGTAGTTAAGAAGACAGTAAGAACCTGGAAAAGAATATACAATGTCTTAAAAAATCAGATTGCAATTACAATTCTGGTAGTTGGGCTGATGCATCAAAAATATAAAATGGAAGCATTTCTGATTTGACATTATTTGCAAATACAGGATAATTACTAAAAAAACAAACTAAATCATTAGCTTCTTGTTAGATTATCAAAAGTAAGAGCTGAATTAAGAAACTGTAAGGGAGGAATATCAGTACTTACTTTCTGCTCTGCTGCTGCCTCTGATGCAAGAGTCTGCGGTGCTGTGGGTGAAGGTGAGTTGTGTCGGGTCGAAACATTGGTGCCTGAGATCTAAGAACAATGGAGAACAAGGTTCTCAAGGTAGTCATACCCAGCAGTTGACAAAATTTAATGGAGCTCAGTCACTTTAAAACAAAATTTTATTGATTTAATTGAACGCCATGGAGATAGAGCTTCCCATGTGGTAGTTCCCTTCTCCAATGCCTGCATCAGTTGAGGTATGAGCCTGTAACTTCATCTGGGGACACCCAAGCGTTCCAGTCATCATCACCTGCAAACTCTCGGGGTGTGCATGAACAGTTTGACGGAAGCTATCCAGACATGGGAAGGATTTTCCCAGGTGGGGAATTCAACCTCTCGTGAAGTTTGAAATTTTCTTACTTTTAAATGATTTATTTTTATTGAAAACGCAGATTTACAAAGAGAAGGAAAGACAGAGATAAAGATTTTCCAACTGCTGGTTCACTTTCCAAATGACTGCAATGGCTGGAGCTGAGCTGATCCAAAGCAAGGAACCAGGAACCAGGATCTTTCTCTGGATCTCCAATGCAGGTGGCAGGGTCCCAAGGCTTTGGGCCATTCTCCACTGCTTTCCCAGGCCACAAGCAGGGAGCTGGATGGGAAGTGGAGCAGCCAGGACATGAACTGGTGCCCATATGGAATGTTGGTGTTTGCAGTTAGAGGATTAGCCTGTTGAACCATTGCATTGGTTCTGAATATTTGGAATTTTAAGAAGTATTAGCCCAGGATAACTTGATAAGGTCTCTTTCAAGATACTTTTAGAGTCATCCTCTTTTTAAAGATTTATTTACTTCATTTGAAATGCAGAGAAAATGAGAGAAAAGGGGAGGGGAAGGAGAAAAGAGAAGGAGAGAGGGGAGAGAATGAGAGAGGGAGGTGGTCAGGTGGAAGAAGAGGGAAACATCAGTCTTTTATTTACTGGCTTACTCTCCAACAGCCATAACACATGGGCTTAGCCAGTCGTCAAAAGCCTGGAACTTCATCCAGGTCCCTCATGTGGGTGGCCGGGGTCCAAGCACTGGGGTCATTATCTGTGGTGTTTCTAGGTGTTTTAGCAGGGAGCTAGGTAGGAAGTGTAGCAGCCAGGACTCCAACCGGTTTCCACATGGGATGCCAGCATTGCAGGCAACACCGCAAAGCAGGTCCCTGCTGCAGTCTACTCTAGAAATAGCTTGCAGAAACTGAAGACAACTTATTTTTTTTAAAACATATCTTCCTCAAAGACTAATTCTCAATTCCTTAAAGAATTATGAAATACAAATGAATTATCAGTCAAGTAATACAGTTTTTTCCCTTATGCTCTTGCTTAGAAGTCTCTAAACACATTAATGTATTTAGCTTCAAGCACTGAAAGTATGGGATGATTAATTTTATATGTTAAATTAATAATATTTGGTTATTTGGTAAAAGACTAGTTTAGATATTGCTGCAAAGTATGATTAATATCTATAAAAAGTGGTCTTTAAGAAAATGAGACCAACCTTGATAACGTGGGATGGTTACCAATCAGTTAACAAAAACTAAAGTTTCTCAGAGAAGGAATTCTGCCTCCAGCAAGAGAAATCCTGCTGATCCTCTCCGCCTCCTGGCCCAGACTAAATATTTCAGCTTCAAGGTTGCAATTCCCAACTGTCACTAGTTCATGGCCAGCTGGCCTTCTCAATGGATTTCGGACTTGACAGCCTCTACGACTATGACAGCCAATTCTTTAAAAACTCACACACCCTGTGTGCATATACACACACAGAAAGGGAAGAGCGTTCCTCTTGAGAACTGTGACTGACACAGTGATACGCAATGAAATACAATTTCACTAAAATAGGATCGTAACCTTTTTTTGTAGAACTAGAGGGTGGAAGCAAGCAATTTAGCCACTGCTAAGTTTAGCTGACTTCTTAGCATTTTAATCTCTATTCCTTAACATAAGGCAATTCTTTGTAAGTCATGGGTACGTGTGTTAAGTGGGTTTAAAGCAAAACTTAATGAAACTTCAGAAAATAAAAAAGGCAACTTACTTGTAAATGTACATAGGAGGCATGTGACCCTTAAAATGTGGCTCATAAAAAATCCTGGAGATTATCAACATTTCTATTTGCCGACTTTAGGACCCAGTAACATCTCAACATGCATCACTGGGAGAAGATCAAGAAACTTGTATTCTACAGCCAAAAGTCAATGACGAAGAGACTTAGTTAACGACGGCTAAATCACAGCATTAGTTTCGTATACCTTATGGTTTGCAGATGAGGTCCTGGGCCAGGAGGATGCTGCGGAGGCGGCGTAGTGGGGGGTGGAGCAGTGAAGAAGCCACGGAAGCCGGGAGCTGGGGGGAGCATCTGCCCTACTCTCCCTTGCAGCAGCTTGGGATTCATGGCAGCTAGTGGACTGCCAACAAACCCAGGGACGCGTGCAAACTGGCTGGGAGACATCCGTCCAGGCTGCAGCTATAAGGAGGGACAATGTATTTGATTTAGTTAATTGCAACTTCCTTTGACACCCCCCCCCAGATAATTAAAAAAATTTTTATCAACAACAACAACAACAAAAGAAGGAAAAAACAAGAGGCTGTTGTGATTAAAAGCAAAAAAGATATCGCCTAACAGCCCTTGGGAAATGAGAAGGGTTCTTTATGGCCAAGGCTGAACACAGGCTTACCTGTGCTCCTCCAAGAAGCTGTGCTCTCTGGAGGGGGCTGAGGATGGGAGGGACGTTCGGAGGGAAGGGATGGCCCAGCAGGGATGAATTCTAAGGACAAAAGAAGGAAAAAGCTGTTATGGAACAGTCATCAATAAAGGAACCTAGTCCAAATGTAGGAGAAAGTTGGATACAAATTGTAGAATCAAGCTCTCTACTGAGAAATCATAAAAAAGAGCAACAGCAGAAATAATGAAATAAACAAATAAATAAATAAAAACCACAATGAACGATTTAAAGCACAGGAAACCAGATTTCATTGAGATTTTTAAAGAAAATGGTTGTCACAATAAACAAGTGACCATGTCCTCTAACTGGGAGTCTTGAGACTCAGAACTGAAGTACAGCAGTTACAAAGAGCACACGCAGTTCAGGACACGTCAGTGTGGCACACTGATCCTGATCCTACAGGTAGTGATTACGTTTTTGCCCGTTTGTAAAGTGACGTACCGGGACATTGCAGAGCTGGTTTGGAGACACCCTCTCACCATAGGGAGCAGGATACCGTGGCGGCAATGGGGGCCGGACATGGACAGGCTTCGGACACAGAATCTATTGGAATAAACATATATACAACTACACTCAATGAAGTCAGTTTTGTTTTCCACCCACACCCCTTTCCCCTCAAGTACTGGTAGAGACACAGGACTCAATGCGAAGCCCTACTTCTAAGCGAATGGCTATGGCGATGGGCTCAAATACATGTCCTCTCACAAGATCAAGATGTGCAAGATTTAGTTCGTTGTTCAGTTACCCCACCCTTCCATGCTATCTGAGGGAGGCACCAGCAGATATTCTTTCAATTGGCAGCAGTGAGGGAGAAGGACTAAGAAAGCTGGAGGATTGACTAAGTCCTATTCTGAAGCCCCTGTGATATGGCCGTCATGCTCAGCAATTTTATGATACATGTGACTCCACCGTGTCATAGGATATTGAGCCTAACTAGGCCATACCAACACCACCCTCCCCCCATACCTTCCAAATTGGCCTTCCTTTTCAGCTGCTGGTTTCAGGTGGAGGAAAGTCTATGGAACAGGACTGCACAGGCTCTAGGGAAAGCAGGGATATCTTAAAGGTAAAAAGGGATGTGGACAATGCTGTGTGTTCCCACTCCCCCCAGCTTTCAGTTATCTCTCTGTCAATGTTTTGGGTAGCCACAAAAACATTTCTAAAAAGCACATATGCACTAAATGTGGCTGATTACCCTTCTCCCCCAATTAAAAGGCAACAGCATCACAGCTGGCAGCAGCACAGGGTATCAGGGAATGTGTCTCACTTGTACTGATTTCTCCTCTACTTGGCTACTTTACTTCTAATTTAATGCCTAGCGCAAATTTCCACCCTCCTCCCAGCAACATCAATTTCCCAGAGAATTTTGCCCAGATTCCCAATATCCTGGGCTGAGTGCCTGTTAATGAAAGGTACCTGTTGGTTGAAGCTGGGTACAGCCACCTGCTTAGGTGGGGTGCCAATGGGGACAGCTCTAACAGGAGGACTCCCAATGATCGGTGAGGTGGATCGCCTCGGTAATGCACGTTCAGAAAGGTCTCGGTCGTCCTCTGGGCCCTGTGGGGGCCGCTGAGGCAAGGCATATTCCAACACAGATACTGTAGGCATTTCCTAATTGACAAAATGGCGAAAAAAAAAAAAGTAGTTAATTTGAAAATGTTTAATCATCTATGCAGATGCCAAAACATGTGGAGGAACTTTTAAATTTGTATTTACTAATTCACACATGGGCAAAATTTATCCTCTGCTATATAACTCTCTGACTTTTAATAAACACACAGTAATAGAACTGCCATGGGGGGCCTGGTGGCATGGCCTAGTGGCTACAGTCCTCGCCTTGAATGCACCGGGATCCCATGTGGGCGCCGGTTCTAATCCCGGCAGCTCCACTTCCCATCCAGCTCCCTGCTTGTGGCCTGGGAAAGCAGTTGAGGACGGCCCAGATCCTTGGGACCCTGTGCCCGCATGGGAGACCTGGAAGAGATTCCTGGTTCCCGGCTTCAGATCGGCGCAGCATCAGCTGTTGCAGTCATCGGACAGAAGATCTTCATCTCTGTCTCCCCTCCTCTCTGTATGTCTGACTTTGTAATAAAAAAAAAATCTTAAAAAAAAAAAAAAGTAAAAAATAAAGAACTGCGATGGGCTTTGCGATACACAGAACAGTTTCATTAGGCTGAAAAGTTCCTTTGTCTTGTCCCTTTATTGTACTAATCCCTCCTGCTAAGCCCAATCACCAGCACTCATCTGCTCCCAATTCCTACAGTTTTTCCTAGACAAATTTACGCTATGGCTATTTAAAAAAAATTTACTATTTAAAACATGTGCACGAGATTTCTTAGTTTTCATGTGATACATATTTAGAAGCATAGGAGATCCTCCCTCTGCCTGTATCTCCCCTTTATTATTTGTCCCCAAGCTATCAACAGCGTAGTCCTTCATGTCACTGTTACGGGCTTATCTTCCTGACATAGAAATTCCCCATGGCATTTGCTTGGACTTTTGACAAATCTGAATTGAAAAGGTTTCCTTTCAGCCTTTACCCGAGAGGTTGAGGAAGGCTATGTCGATGGTGCTGGGTGCAGTAGTCAGTATTCATAGCGGCAAGTGATATGTAGGTTTATTCTTTCAGTGAGCTAAGAATAACAGTGTGGCAACTTAAAATTTCTGGATATTAAAAATTTTACATAAGGGAAAAATGCTTACTACCTGACCAAGTAATGGTCCACGGATTCGTCTCAGAACTTCAGATCCATCCCAAATGCTGGAGTTCAGACTTCCTGGTTGGGGCTAATAAAAAACAAGACAAACAAAAAACAAAACCCACAAAAAAACAGAAAAAGTTAGCAATAATGTGGGCTCTGAGTGAATTATCTGCTTTGGGGGAGCAAGGCTCAAACAGCCTCAACTGCTTGAGGTTAAGAAATTTCAGTGCTCTTAAATACACATTACTTCCTGACTTCAACTCAAGAAGTGGATCATAAGAAACTACACTTTGAATTGTGTATCGAACACCGTAATCCTGTCATTACGCCAGATGAAATAAAGCAGCAAGGGTATGCTTCGATTCTTGAATCAGAGTAACTTACCTGCAAAGCTGGCCTGGTCTGCACTGCCCTCATGATAGCTGGATCTTCTAATTCATTTTCAATCACCATTTTACTGAGCCTTTCTGCCAGATTCTCCTCATGATCACCCAACAAGTCCATTTCATCTCTCTCTCCATTGTCTGTCTGTTCATTAACCGGCACCGGTAGCTTTTCTTCCAATTCAGCCAGGCGCTCATGTGCTTCTTGCCAATCATCATCTGCAAGTTAGAGAAGAAATATAGTTTATAATGGGAGAAAGAAAGTTTTAAAAATTTCTTCTTATAATCAAACAACCTGAACTTCAGAGGCCAGGTAAAGGTTAATTTTTACATAGAGACATGAATAAAATTTTAAGTTAAGGGACACAAAAAGTGATTTAAAAAAAAAACTGTAAGAGTAAATAACAGGGTCTGATGGGATAGCGCAACGGTTAAAATCCTCGCCTTGGACATGCCGGGATCTCATATGGGCACCGGTTCTAATCCCAGCGGCTCCACTTTCCATCCAGTTCCCTTCTTGTGGCCTGGGAAAGCAATCAGGGATGGCTCAAAGCTTTGGAACCCTGCACCTGCGTGCGAGACCCAGAAGAGGCCCCTGGCTTTGGACTGGCTAAGCTCCAGCTGTTGCGGCTGCTTGGGGAGTGAATCATCGAACAGAAGTTCTTCCTCTCTGTACGTCTACCTTTCCAGTAAAAATAAATAAATCTTACAAAAAAAAAAAAGAGTAGGGCCTGGCAGTGTGGCCTAGTGGCTAAAAGTCCTTGCCTTGAACACGCCAGGATCCCATATGGGAGCCGGTTCTAATCCCAGCAGCTTCATTTCCCATCCAGCTCCCTGCTTGTGGCCTGGGAAAGTATTTGAGGATGGCCCAAAGCATTTGAATCCATCTTCTTTGACTACTATTTGGTAATCATCTATTACATGGCAAACACTATTGTAACTTTAAAGGTTCTATACGTAGCAGACAAGGATGTTCCCCTCATACAGCTTTCATTCAAGCAAACAAGAGATAATGGACAATAAACACAATGACTAAATCCATTACATACTATGCTTAAAAGTGTTCCAAAACATGGAGAAAGCAAAGTAGCCTGCAAAACCGTAAACATATGGTCAGAGACGAGCTTCAGTGAGGTGACATTTCATTTGAGAAAGATTAAAAAAAAATTAAAAAAAAGATTTATTTATTTTTATTGGAAAGGCACATTACATTTACAGAGAGAAGTAGAGACACAGAGGGAAAGATAATCCACCTGTTGGTTCACTCCCCAAATGGCCACAATGGTTGGAGCTGAGCTGACCTGAAGCCAGGAGCCTCTTCTGGGTCTCCCACATGGGTGCAGGGACCAAGGCTTTGGGCCATCCTTTACTGCTTTCCCAGGCCACAAGAAGGTAGCTGAATGGGAAGTAGAGCAACCAGAACATGGACTGGTACTCATATGGGATCTCACTGCATGCAAGGCAAGGATTTAGCCATTGAGCCATCGCACTGGGCCAAGAGTAAGAATCAGTCATGTAGTTATTGGAAAGAAGACTGTTATAGGCAGGACCGTCAGCAGGAAGGTGTTAAAATGAGAGCTTGTCAGCTGTGAGAGCAAGAGGGCTGTTTGGGACGGAAGCATCAAGAGTAGAAAATGACGTCAGAGCCAGGAGAGGTGGCACTCCTAAGAGGTCGTCTGGGTCACTGTCAAAAGGAAGGCAATGGGTAGTTATCATAAGGCTAACTTTTTAGAGAGAATCACTAGCTATATTGAACATGGATTGGCGAATGGGAATAGCAGAGACAGTATCAGAAGCATGGCGATCTGGGAGATGGCTATTGCAGCAATCCAGGGGGAGAGTAATCGCAATTTGAACCAGGGTCAATTCCTCTTCTATTTTAACTAATGTCCTTGCAACTCCTGTGCACTACTATGCAGGATGTAGCACTGACACTAAGGTTGTTTTCTCAATTTATTAGGCCTACCCAGCATTCATTTCGAGTCCCACTATAGTATTAAAACCTTCAGAAACCATTGCTTCTGTAGAAATGAACCTCCCTTCCATTCCAGCTCTCATTTCTGTTCTCTCCAACCTAGTCATTCCATTCTGCTTCCAATCATTAAAAGCTGCATGTACAGTTGTGATTCCTTTCAGCATTCCAACTTCTCCCTCCACTGAAGCTACCCTCGTCTTTTCATTTTAATACTACCCTCACTTCATCTAAATGTACTCAAAAAAAAATTATTGATTTCAAAGTCAGAGTTAGAGGGGAACAGAACAAAAAAAGAGCGAGCCTTCAGTCCCCAAACCAGGAGTTCTCAGGGGTGTCAGGGGCCCAAACACTTGGGCCATCTTCTGCTATCTTCCCCAGGCTGTGAGCAGGGAGCTAGAACAGAAGTAGAGCAGCTGGGACATGAACTGGTGCCTGGGTGTGTTGTCAAGGTCCCAGGCGGCAGCTTAGCCTGCTATAGCTCTATGTTTTAACCTACAAAGTACCTGTATTCTTTTGTTTCTGTTATGTGTTTTATTCTTCTTTTAGTTATACATTTCACATGTTCCACACAATTCAGCACAAAGGGATTTTTCTTTTTATTGCTTTTTTTTTTAATTTAAGCATCAAAAATTTGTAACTTAGAAATTTCTCTATAACTAGTTAAGTTCTTGAAAATACTATGAAAACTCTGTCATAAAAATTGTTTGAATTATGTTTTAGATCTCTTAATAGTTCTTAAAAACAAAATTTATTTTCACCTACTTGAAATGCAGAGATCTTCCCTCTGCTGGTACAGCCCTCAAACACAACAGCTGGGGAGGTGGACCAGGTCAAAGACAGGAGCCCAGAATTCCACTGGAGCTTTCCACAGGTGGGCAGAGACCCAGGCGCTTGGCACACTATCTGTTACCTCTTAGGAAACATCAACATGAAGCTAGATTGGAAGCTAGGAGGTACCAGCACTCCAACACGAGATGCAGGTCTCCCAAGCAATGCCTTAACTCCCCGCTAACGTTATTTTGTCTATGCACATCATTTGACACCTTTTCATGCAGAAAACATAAATGCAAATACTGATATTATACTGTTTAACACCCACAAGATTATGTTCTATGAATAAGCTTAATTTTCCTCATTCCCTACTGATAAACATTTGGATTATTTGTAATTGAACATGATAATATAGTAATGAAAGGGTGGGCATTTAGTCTAGAAGTTAAGATGTCACATCCCAGGGAGTACCTGAATTGGACTCTATGTTCCAATTCCTGATTCCAGCTTCCTGCTAACGTACACTCTGGAAGAAAGGGCTGATGGCTCAAGAGACCGGGTCCCTGCCATTCACATAAGAGTGAAGTGAGTTTGTGGCTCTCAGCTCAGGCCTACTCCAGGACTGCCTCTCGAAGGCATGTGGGAAGTAAGCCATCAGATGAGAATTTTCTTTCTGCTTTTAAATAATAAAACTAAAACCTATACTGAACATCATATGTATCATCAACCTACTGCAATAAACACTATACGTATATTTCAATGTTTCAATAGGCTAATCCCTTTGTATGGACAAAGTAATATTTATAATTTGTTATTTTTACTTGATCTTTCATCTGCTGGTTCAGTATCTCAATGGTCACAAAAGCCAAGGTTGGGTCAGGCTGACATTGGGAGTTTGGAAATCTGTCCACCTCTCCCACGTCGGTGATGGGCCACAAGGGACATCTTCTGCTTTCCCAGGAACATGTGTTGAGAGTCGAATCCAAAGTAGAGCATCTGGGACTAGAACCAAAGTTCAGACGGGCACTGACATCACAAGTAGTGGTCAAACAAGCTGTGCCACAATGCCAGCCCTTTACTTTACTTATGATATTATACACATGTGACACTGGGACCCAAAAGGTGAGAAAAGTAGGACTTACAAACTTATGTCTTACACCACAGGACAAACTCTCCAGGTTTTGAGAACAATCCATAGGGAAGGAGACATCATCTCGCCATCACTGGGATAAAGGCTGTCGGCAAGGGCTGTACATAACATCAGTCTTACCTACACGCCTCTAGGACTTGGGACATGGGTCATTTTTCCTAATTGTGGAGATTCCCTCCTCATCCAGCAACTTCCTCTGAGTGCCCAGGCCTCAGGAATATTATTTTATAGGAAAGAACTGAAAAAAATCAACCTTTGCATTTTGATAGTTTCTTAGAAGCATAACATTGATGTGCTCAAAAAAGGGGAAGATCTTCATAGATGAAAATTACAGTGTTCTATGCTCATCCATCTGAAATACCCTTAAGGAACAGCATAATTAAAAACCAGCTATGGCATCTTGTCATTTTGTTGAGGAAGAGTGCTCTGACAAAGGGTAAGATTTTTTTTATTTTATTTTACGAACCCAACAATGCACAAAGAGTAGAGAGGCCTCTGATTTCAGAGATTTTTAAAATACTTCCAAAACAGTCTAAGTTGCTAACTGTAAAGCACTCTTTTCAGTCTCCATGTCTCAATTTTGTTTCCGGTTAAGTTTACCAGATCCTATCAACACTTAAACAAACGTGTTAAATAGTCATAGTCTGCTCAAATGGCTCCGTTGGGGACCGTCATGCTTTCAAACATGTAAGCAGAGAAATCTCTGTCATGGAATACATTATGCTTTTACCTTTTTCTTGATCTTATGAAAAAAAAAAGTGAGGGGGTATGTCACAGATCTAATTCCCTTATATATATATATTCCTTATAATCTAAAAAGTTACTTAAGACAAGCCATTGCTTAATCTTAATTCATTGTCTAACAAACTGAAAAGGAGGGCAAAAGAACAACAGAGAAATTAAGGGAAAAAGAGATAACCGTATTTCTTCAACTAACGGATCTAACTCCAGTGTCAACTACTGCATTTCTGGCAGCTTTTTCTTTTTTTTAAAGATTTATTTATTTTTATTGGGAAGTCAGATATAAAGAGTGAAGGAGAGACAAAGAGGAAGATCTTTCATCTGCTGGTTCATTCCCCAAGTGGCTGCAACAGCCGGAGCTGATCCGAAGCCAGGAACCAGGAGCTTCTTCAGGGTCTCCCAGACGGGTGCAGGATCCCAGGGCTCTGGGCCATCCTCTACTGCCTTCCTAGGCCACAAGCAGGGAGCTGGATGCGAACTGGGGCCAGCGTCCATATGAGATCCTGGTGCATCCAAGGTGAGGACGTTAGCCACTAGGCTACCATGCCAGACCCTTTCCTGGTGGTTTTTACAAATCTGTTTATTGTGCTAATGTCCCTGAAGCCTATCCTAGGGATATTTCTGAATGAAAACAAACTAATGGGAAGGAGATTAATTTGAGGGCAGTCTCAGTCCTTCAGATTATATCTGTTACCAGGAAGAGGGGAGAGTCTTCACCAGCAGAGGTTAGATGTTTCAAACTTTAACCAAAGACTGTTTGACGTAACAAGTCTGCATTAATTGTATTTATAGTTATATACCCTGTCGCTCTGCTTCCTCATCTGCTAAAACGAGGATTCTGTCAGTGCTTACCTCACAAGGTGGCTGCAAAGGTTCAGCATCTGTTTGGAATATTTCGAGTGGTCCCTGGCACAGAATGAGCACCATGTGGTGGCTTTTGATCTTAGAGACTGCACTGGGCTTACTGCAGCATCGTTTGTTGCTTTAACGTGATGTAAACATTGTTTCACACAGAAAGCACTCACTAGTTTCTTAAAGGGACATCGGCCAGTGACTTACATTATCCACCGCACTAGAAGCTATTACTCAAGATGTCCTGTCCATGAATTAAAAATCAAGCAGAAACTCTAGCAAAGATGAAGTGCTCATTGCACTCTGGAACTCAAGGAGAAGGTGAGACAATTCCTTTTTTCATGTTCAAAAAATGAGGACGTGTCACATTTTAATATAACATGTACAAATCGATTCTATCAACTCCATTTGTTGAAAAATGATAACATTCAGTACATGATTTTAATATAAAGAGTTTAAGCACAAACATGTAACTTTTTAGCTTCTATTTCATTATTAATCAATCATCTTTTTTTCCACAATGAGCTTTTGCTTGTACTTTCAACATTTTTCTTGTTGTTCTCAAGTCACGGCAGGCCAAGTTTAGGTTCTCTACTGAATTTCATAAATTTTCATTTTTGGCAGTTCAGCGTAAGTTAAAAGCAAGCTGTTTCGGTCACTGCCAAACCAGTGAGGCCTTTGACTTGTCTCCGATTCTAAACCTCTTAAGAGTCCTCCCTATTGCTACATTTCCTCTTCCTGCTTATGAACTGTGAATATTTGCACTGACAGAAGTGCTGCGATTCACACATATTTACATATCCTAACAAACACTGTGATTGCACCTTTCCAACACCAATAGTCAAAGCAAAAATACCTACACTGATTCATCCCTGCTCATCTTTTTAAGGTAAAAAAGTTTCAAAAACTGCTTACTTATTTTCATCTTCTTGAAAGGCATAGTGGTAGAGAGTGAGAAAGGGAGAGACTTGCATCCCCTGGCTCACTTGCATTCATGGGCCTGGAACTCCATCTGGCCCTGCGTACAGCTGGCAGGGACCCAAGTCCTCGAGCCATTATCTGCTGCATCCTAGGGTACGCCAGAAGGAAGCTGGATCAAAAGTGTAGTGGCTCGGGCTAGACCTAGTACTGTGCTACAGGATGTCAGCACGCAGAGCAGTGGCTCCATCTGCCACCGGTCCTCTGATGTAAACTGTAATTTACTAATCTGCTTGCTTTAAGTAAAATGTGATCTCCAACTGTCATTTAAATCTGCTTCCTCAATTTTCTATCCCAGCATTTACATTTTGTTAATTTGACTCTTTTAACTTTCTACATTTATTTTGTCTCCTAGTGTATTTATTCCTATCCAGGGACAGAAAACATTTCATCTGTGCACAACATTTTTCTATTTATTAAGATTTTCTATTACTGGGCCTGGCGCGGAATCCTAGTGGCTAAAAGTCCTTGCCTTGCATGTGCTGGGATCACGCATGGATTCTGGTTTGTACCCGGAAAGCTCCATTTCCCTTTCGGCTTCCAGCTCCCTGCTGGTGCCCTGGGAAAGCAACAGAGGATGGCTCAAAGCCTTAGGACCCTGCACCCACATGGGAGACCAAGCAGAAGCTCCTGGCCCCTGGCTTCGGATCAGCTCAGCTCCAGCTATTGTGGCTGCTTGGAGAATGAACCAGCAAATGTAAGATTTCTCTCTCCTTCTTTCTGTAAATCTGACTTAAAAAAAAAAAAAGATTTTTCTGTCACTAAAATTGTTGGTATAAAAAGCATTTACTTTTACTGAAGTTACTATCTGACATGTAGTGTACTAGGAGAGGAGTGAATTTTAAAACACATTTGCATGCAAGACTCCGAATGTTCCACTGGTCACTACTTTCCCTAAGCTGCATGTCTACCGAGAAAAACTCCCCTTTCCCAGGATTGTTTTAAATCTCTTGTGAATATCTACTTCAAACATTTGCATTCCTTCTTATGGCTTCCTGGAGCCTGGATCCTATAGCTGGAAGGGATCTGGTTTTGCAAGCCAGGCAAAAAGTGGCCCAAAGGAGTAGGCAGAAAGACGTACTATTGCACCAGAGAACACCAACAGAGGACTGTGCTGCAGACGGAGTGAATGCGGCGCCTCCCCCAGGTGAAGCTGCTGTAACTGCAAAGGGCCGTCACTTACCCACTGCACCTGACCCGAATGTATCATCATTGAACTGATCAATCTCTTCATCCTCTTCTCCCAGGCCCTGAAACGCATCCTCGTCTTCATCTAGAGGACAATCCTCCAAAGACTAAAAGCAAGATAAAACTCATCAGCTATGCACAAAATTCAATACTTTAGGATATTGAAAAAAGCATCCTAAGAATGTTTATCTCACTTTCTCAATGAACACAATAATCTCACCCCAACTTTCTGTAAAGATGACATTTGTTTCCCATCCACCAATCGCCTCGGCTGCGAAAGGTTTCAGTTCTCTTCTGTCACCTGCTTCCTCCTTCTAATTCCGTTTAGAACCCTCTCCCACGAGCAGTTTCTTGATTTTATTGAAATGCCTCATGAAATCAAGAAATTATGCTTATCACTGGATAGAATAGCATTGGCAATTAAAAATGCATGCTTAATCTTGCTTAAATTTTGTCTTTCTAAGCAGTTCTTGCCTTATTACACTTATGTTATCATTATGACCATTTTATTACTTTAAAAGCTTTCTCCTCATTTTCCACTCGTCTCCTTAAACTTCCCAGAGGCACACATTAGTGATAAAAGAGAAAGCCAGGTTTTCAATCACAATTCAGCAAACTCTGTGAAAGCTGTGATACGCCAAGTGCAAGTGTTGGTGCCACTCTTACCAGTAGCATATACCTGGCAACTCACACTTTTCTGGTTAATTCATCAAGTACCACAGGAGAACGCTCTGTGTCCCGGGGAGGCTAGGCTCCAAACGTTACCAGTTACTAAGGCATGAACAGTGTCATGCACTTTACTGTTGGGAGGCGCAAACAGCGATTTAGGCACAGACTGTGTGTACACCACGGAACAAAAGCCAGACACCCCTCAACATCTCAGATGCACTCTAGTTCAAATATTTCCTCATTTCATTTATCCCTTTCCCCTTCCACTTGATTCAGTCTCAAGTTTTTTTCCTCCGTCGGCAGCTTCTGCCCATGCATTTCCTCCTGCACCTGTTTACTCTGGTCTTGGGTGTGCTGTCAAGTAATTGTTTGCAACTTTCTACCAGAATCCCAGCTATCAGTGCTTATAGGGGACATATCTTGCCTGCCTATCTTTTGGCTAAGTGTGTTTCCTCAAGGGACGGTTAGCACAAAGGATGATTCTTATCCTAGAGCCCTCCCAGATTTGCACATATCAGACATACCATTGCCTCCACATCATTCCCCTCCAAATCAGCACGATTTACCGAAACATGCCACTTGAAAAAAAAATCAAAGACTCCTGGGGATCCTGTAGACCAGTCCCCTTCAGCTTACAACAGAAGCTGTCCAGTGGTTAGGACTCGCTCAAGGTCAAACAGGGAGTTGGTAACAGGTCAGGCCTGGGCTGTTGCTACATTCTCGGGACCCACACCAAACCCACGGCTCTCTGCACTTGCCTACAAGGAACTTCGGCCGGACACGCCCCCTTCCAATTCCGAGCCCTCAGCAGCAAAGAGTTCGGGGGTCCCAGTCACACAGCAAGCCCGGACCCCCCCCCCCCGACCTGAGTCTACCCGCGCGTCTGGGGGCGTCTGTGTAAGGGGGGGGGGTGGAGGGAAGGGATGTCCTGGGGCCAAGGCGGGAAAAGTCCTTCTGGAGCATTCCCGAGCGACTCCTCCACAATAATAGCCACCAGCTAGCTGCAAGCTTGTCTCCCCCGGGCACGCTGCAGGTTAGGGGTGAGGGGGTGGTCCGGCTGCGGCATTTAACGGGCCCTCCCCACCCCAAACCATAACTCTCCCCAGCGGCAAGTGCTGGGGCAGTCCCGCCCCGCCTCCCCCCCGCGAAGCCGGCTCCCAACCCGCGCAGGAAAAAATCCACGACGCCAGGCCGGTCCCGCTCCACTCGCTCCCGCGGCTCCCGCAGCCCGCCCCCTCCCCCTCCGCAGCCGCGGACCGGCACGCGGGGGGTGAGAGCGAGAGGGGCGCGGGAGCGAGGGAGGGGCCACTTCCGGTCGCGACAGCTCACCTCGTAGCGGAACATTCTTGGGGAGGGGGGGAGGGAGTGGGGAGGGGAGCGGGGGAGGGAGGGAAGAAGCGCCGACTCCTCGAGCTTCTCCGCGCGCGGGTCCTCCACCGGCTCGCGACCCCTGGCCGCCGCCGTACGCCGGAGCGTGCGTGGGAACGTGCGCAGGCGCGCCTAGGGAAGGGCGGTCACCTCGACCGGCGTCTGGCGGCGGCGGCTGCGCGGGGACAGATTTGGCGTCCCGCTTCCTAGTCTCCGCGGCGGGAAGGAGGTTCCGTCGCGAGAGACCGCGCATGCGCCGCCCGTCGAGGGCTTTCGGGCGCTGTGGGTTTACGGCCCCGCCCCCGGGTTTCTCCGCGCCGGCGTAGCGCTCAGCTTGGAGCCGAGGATGCAGTCACGAGTTTTCCGTCATCGACAGGGCGGAGAAAACCTTAGTAATTGTCCTTAGGGAAGGCTCTGAAGAGTCCCAAGCCTGGGCTGGGAGACGGGAGAATTCCTGGGATTTCGTTTCCCCACCTCCCACCCGTTTGGGGGCTGCCCGCGGGTCCTCACGTTGCTGACGTGCCGCTGTGGAAAGGAAGTTTGTGGCCCTCGAAAGGGGTAGAACTCCGCCTCGAGTGGCTCATGGCTCTCTGAATCAACAGCAGGCCGGCGCTGTCATTTATGTGACTCAGAATGATGACGGGGGTCAATATTTTTTTACATTTTATTATTATTATCATTTTATGATACAGTTCCATAGGCTCCTGGTATTTCCCTTATCCCCTGACGGGGCCAATTTTTAAAAAGCCAAAGGCACGAGCGGGGAGCTTCGAGGTCGGGGGATATTTTGAGGCTGCAGGCGCCTAAGGCAGGTGGAGCGGGAGAGCTCGGTGGCCTGTGAGAGACAGCCTGGGTGACACTATTGACTTAGACGATCCAATCCACAGAAAAGTTTGCGGGTTTATAAAACTTCGGTGTCCTGGTTCTAGAAGCCTGGTGGCTTGCTTCTCTGGCACCTCCCATAACCATTAAATCCCATTTGAACAAACTGCTCTCTCTCATTTCCCCTGAAGGACTAAACTTGCTCCATGAAGAATGAATACGTGAGGGTTTCGCAACCCCTTTCTCTGAGAGTCTTAAAATGCGGCCTCGCCTGGGGATGGTGTCCAGTAAATTCTTTTCATGTTAGTGTGACTAATCAGAGTTTTAAGTACTGGCAACCTGGGATTTAGAAGTAAATGTTCTTGGCTGTGAGACTTTGGCAAGTTTCTTAGTATCCGTGGCCTTTAGTTTCTTCGTAAAATAGGTTTCTAGTTATACTTGCCTTAGAGGAGTTGTTCAGTAGCGTCGTGATGGTTCTATTCTTCCTAATGACTGAAGATGGCCTGCTTTTCTGCTACATGCTTTCTATGGATTCTCGAATCATCCCTTGTGCTCACCCCGTGAGGTAGGTACTATTATTTTCTGCATGTTGTAGATGAGGCTCCCCAGGATTAGAGGCTTAAGTCACTTGCCTCAAGCCACTCAGTGACACTCTGCAAAGCTAGCAGCTGGGGTCCCTCTCTGATTCTAAAATCCTGTCATTGGGCCAAAGTAGCAAAAGCAAATATTGACTGTAGGCCAGGCCTACGCCTTAAGAGTGAATGATAATTGGTTTTCAAGCATGCATGGAACATTATAAATCTTCATGTATTAAGTAATAGCAAGTGTCAACAAGGCTTGTGCCGTATGTACCAAGGGGATGGCACACTGTGACTTGCTAGCTGATTTTTTAAAAAAGATTTACTTAATTGAAAGACAGAGTTTGGGCAGGGGTGAGAAGGGAGATCTTTCATCCACTGGCTCATTTCCTAAAAGGCTCCAGTGCTGGAGTCCGGGCCAGGCAGAAGCCAAGAGCTGGGAGTGCCATCCAGGTATGTCCTGCACTCGGGTGATCTGCCAGTGCTCTCCCAGGCACAGTGAAAGTGGAGTGGGCTCGGTTCAATGGCTCACTGGCTAAATCCTCACCTTGCAAGTGCCGGGATCCCATATGGGCATCAGTTCATGTCCCTGCTGCTGCGCTTCCCTCAGCTCAGCTTTGTGATGGCATTTGGGGAGTGTATTAGCAGAATCAAGATCTTCATCTCTCCTCTCTGTAAATGTGATCTGCCTTTCCAATATGAATAAGTACACTCAACAGGATGTTGGCATCACAGTCAGTGGCTTGAAATGCGCAAGTTCTAGCAAGTTGTCTAGTTTTAAGTGAAGTTGTATTGACGTGTTGCAACCCTCAGTTTTGCGTGTTGCTGTCTTTGGTTGCTGCATTGTTTACAAAGTCAGAATTGAGTAGTTACAATGGAGACCATGTCTGGTCCTTTACAGAAAGTTTACTGATGTCTAATATTTCAAACCATATTTTGAAACCATTATATTAGAAATCAGTAGTCATGATAAGTTAGAAACAAAATTTCTCATTTTCAGAAAAAAAAAATCCGTGAAATAAAACAATGGGGAGTAGAAAAGTGGGAGATGAATGATGAACTTACTAGCGTATCAACAAATCTTAGGGTAGAGTTCACGCAGCTTAATGTAAGTGAATGATAGAGTAAATCCAAAGAAAATCCAAGGAAAGAAGGAAGGCAGAGCAGACACTGAAGCAAGAACACAAGGTCATGGAATCAGCAGAACAGCCGATCCTCACATGTAACACCTGTCCATGAAGGAGGCTGTGAACTCCTTTAAGAGCATAAAACATATTTTTAAAAAAGATTTATTTTATTTTTATTGGAAAGGGGGATATACAGAGAGGAGAGACAGAGAGGAAGATCTTCCGTCCAATGATTCACTCCCCAGGCGGGCGCAATGGCTGGAGCTTAGCCAATCCAAAGCCAGGAGCCTCTTCCAGGTCTGCCATGCGGGTACAGGGTCCTAAGGCTTTGGGCTGTCCTCTATTGCTTTCCCAGGCCACAGGCAGGGGGCTGGATGGGAAGCGGTGTCCATATGAGATCCCAGCTCATGCGAGGCGGGACCTTAACCACTGCGCCATCGTGCTGGGCCCGAAAATAAAACATATTTTGAGCTGGACAATAAGCTTATTGTTGAATTGGAAAAGGTGGAATTTTCCCCCAAAGTGATTCTGTTTTTTTTCCCTTTTTCTGAAGTGATTCTTTAACTGTGAATTATGATACATCTGGAGAGGGTGGCAGAAAGAGGCTTTCTTAAAGAGGCTTCTGACAGCTGAGTGAGTAAATCAGAGAAATCTACCACTGGCTGTGTTTGGTGTAGTTGGTGTTTTCTGCAGAAGCTCTAACTAATCATAGTAGAGTTTACAGACTCTAAAAATTGTTACGAAAAGCATGTATACTGTGAGAGTAGTTTTGGATGTTATTTTCATCAAGTAATAGCACATTTCAAACTTAACCATGCATCAAGAGAAGAGGACTTAATGAAACACAGATCACTGGGCGCCATTCCCTGTGTTTTGCATCGGCAGGTCTGAAGTTGGACCTGCGAGTTTGCATTCATAGCAAGTTTCTGTGTGATACTGATGCTGTTGGTTCTGGAACTATGAAAACCCACCTGATCCATGAGTGCTTGAGAGGTTGTGAAGAGGAAGGAAAAAGTGGTGGGTTGCACAGAGCTGTCATTCCTGTAATGAGAAGAAATATAAGGTAACATTTATGGTGAATTTCACAAATTCTTTTGACAGTTCTCTCTCAAGAGGTGCGATTTATTTGCTCATTTCTGTCACTGCTTTGACCAAAGATGAATAGAAGAGCAGATGCTAGTGCCAGTTGTGGGTCTGCTTTTTGAGAGTGATAGCCAAGGTCCATTCAAGATAGCCAGCTGCCTTGCTGAAGAAGACATTGCATGGAAGGACCCAGTACTGCATGGGGAAGGAGAGGACGCTAGCTAAATCCATCTTCCTAGCGTTGGGCTGTTAAGAAAGGCTAAGAGGCTCCTTGAAACAAAAGGCGGATCTCCCAAGGACCTATCTTTTTTCTTCCTTGGAAAACTCACTGTAACAAAGAGCACCGCTGCCCGTGTTTGTTACGATGTGTGAGGGTGAAATAGGAATATAGGAGATGTGGGAACTTTTTGTAATTTGGGAACTTGTAAATCAAGATATGCCTTGATTTCCGTGTTGGCCTGTACCTACCCTGCATCCCTCTCTCGTTCAGCTCACCGCTGACCGCTGTGCTCACTTGAGTCATTCCCAGGACATATATTCACAGGCACACTGCAGTATTTATTACACGGAAAAGTGCCCTAAAATTTCAGAGAACATACCAAAAATGATTTATTTCGTAAGGCTTTTGGGGCTGAGGATCTGAGAATAGCTTGGCTTGGTGAGGGTGTTTCTGAAGGTTGCCGTCCTGATGTTGGCTGAAGTTCCAGCCCTTTGATGGTTTGGGAGATCTAGACCCGAAATGATTCACTTACCTGGCAATTAGCAACAAGCATCGATTCCTCTGACTGTTGACAGGCACCATCGGGTTCTTGCCACTTGGCCATCTGCACTGGGCCTCCTGGTTGTGTGTGGGTTGTGTGTGTGAGAGGTACCTTCTCTCAGAGTAATCGGAAGGCAAGGCTAAGATCGCAGCGACTTCTGTGACCCAGCTGCAGAAGCCACGACTAGTTCTTTTACGTTGTGTTTGTTAGAAATATGTTTTTAAGTGCAGCTTGTATTCACTGGGACAGGAATTGGCCTTCACCTTGTGAAAGAAGGAATATGAAAGCATGTGTGGACATTAAAAAAAAATATTTTGTTTCTTTTTTATTTGAATGTCAGATTTACAGAGAGAAGGAGAGACAGAGGGAAATATCATCTATCCACTAGGTCACTCCCCAAGTGATCGCGATGGCTGGAGCTGAGCTGATCCGAAGCCAGGAGCCCAGAGCCTCTTCCAGGTCTCTTGTACACGGGTGCAGGGTCCCAAGGCTTTGGGCCATCCTCTACTGCTTTCCCAGGGCACAAGCATGGAGCAACTGGGATATGAAATGGTACCCATATGGTATTCCCGTACTTGCATAGTGAGGATTTTAACCACTAGGCTATTGCTCTGGGCCCATGTGGACTTACATTAAAACTACCATAGCCTACTTGAAAATCCAGACTTTTTTTTTTAATCAAGGAAGAGCATCTTTTTTTTTTTTTAAGATTTATTTCTTTTTATTGGAAAGGCAGATATTCAGCGAGAAGGAGATA